AATTTATTAGGGAGGGGATTAGAAAAAGTTTGAACCAAATCGGAGCAGGCGTTGCCGAGTTATGACCGAAAAAGTAACATTTTACCCCCCATTCCGCGATTTCCTGGGTTGTGAGTATAAAGTTGTAAGATACAAGTATCAATACGCGAAAGACGCGGGGTAAAACCCGGGGGTGGCCCCCCATTTTTTACTACAACAGCAAGCAGAAGCTAATAACTACTGTTGTGAATAATTTAAACTGTAATGATGAGTTGTAAATTAAAATTTAAACAAAATCGAAGCTGTACATTATAGAAATAATCCTCCTTGTATAGAAAACTGGGTATACCAAACAGATGAAATTTCTGAAATATTTTATATCCCAGTCCTAGAATATAATTACTGATAAGAAAAGCTCTTTACCTTCGTATTTGGTGCAATTTGTTGCCGTAGATAAAAATATTTTATAAACATGTTGCTTAGACTTGTGAATCAACACTCAAGATTACCATTTCGATCATCATTAGGTATAAGTGCAATTGTACTTATGATTTAAGAGTTAGAAACTGCCATTCAATCATATTCATCATCTTAATGAAGCTGATCTCCGCTAATCTTTCAATGAAGATTTGATTGATTTACCTGACATTTTCTTTGTTTCTAAGTTCTTATTTAATTTTATATTTAAGCAAATTTAGGATATAATTACTAGTATAATTATTACTATAATATATTGAGATAATGAATAGTTATGGTTATAATATATTGTCATGATATATTGTTATGGCTATAATATATTGTGATAATGAATAGTTATGGTTATAATATATTGTGATAATTCAAGGATGTTCTATTTAAACATACCAAAAAAGTAGAAGTTATGCTGAGTCAAGGTGAAAAAAGATGAGGTGAGAGATTGTAGTGGGCTCAGATTTTTCCCTTACAATTTGTGAAAAAGTTATTCAAGACTTTTTAATTGATAATTTAGTCCAGACTCATTCTTATGTCTAAGGTGAATAATCGTTTCATTAAAACACGAATTTGTTAATGTACAAAGAATTGGACCAAATAGACAAGGAAATCAGTAGATAAACAAATATAAAACTCATATTCTTTATATATCGTGTTGTCTAGTACACATTCCAGATCTTTTCAAGTCAACAGACGGGCGATATCATTTAGATAACTAATAAAGGTCACGATGTGCTGCGTGTTTGTCCAACGAACAGAATTTCTTCATATGCAATATGTGAACCGCATAGAGTAAAATGATAAACTCGATTATGCGTACTTGAAATGTGCGCAAAATTATAGAAATAGAAATTATACGTTTCAAGCCAAGGTGCACAAGACACGATAAGACCAAAATTTTTTTAACAAGAATTATTTTAGGATAATGCTGCGAAAGTAGGTGAAGGTGGTGCTGTGAATGTGGCTGCTGCCACGGCTGCGATGAAAAAGAGGCAATATACACTCGTTATAAATGTTATATTCAGACGTACATGACATTAAGGGAATAATCAAAGGTGCCATCATCAGCCCACGAACAAACTATGAGGTGGAAACTTCGCCAAAATAGTAGCAGGAGACTGCAAAATACGGTTCACGAAGACTCAATGAAATTACACGAAGACTTCGTGAACGAGACGAGACGTAGACGAAAAAAATGCTTAGATCATTGTATAGAAATTTGTTTATATGGAATATGAATGTGCAACATAATTATTAAAGTAATGCAGGTTCTGCAGCGTGCTTACGCGACTGAGACTGCATGGTTCAGGAGGGAATTGACACGAGGTGCAGGATTAGCAGTAGACTTGAGCAGAATGTTACATGTATATAAATGTTAACGATACAGCTTAGAATGCAGCCTACATTTAAGAACGCCGGACCATTGAAGTTAGTTATTTTAGCACGGACGTTTCGCATATTTTTACAATTATTGGAACAAAATAAAAGGATTTTTTCGCCTCAGAAGTGAAAATTATGAAAAAATGTTAATTATTAACCACGCCCGTGGCGATGATGGCACCGGCGTCAGTACCGTATTATTTTTAATACAAGACTTCTTTTTAATTTCACTTCTTGTTTGTTTGCTACAAATCTTATAATCGATATATATTACACTTTTACCTGTCCAATCGATCTTAAATTTTGCACACTCGCGTAAAGTCGAAGACAATGCATGAATCAATTGATAGAATAAATGGGAGCGCAGACGTGCACCACCAATTTTGTGCACCAATAAGCGCTGAATCGAACGTCTTGGATCTATCCGAACATCCACCAATCAGCCGTGAACCACTCGGCTTTGTCCACCTCCTCCTTGCATAAAACCTGCCGTGCACCACCAGGCCGCGGATCGAATATGACTTCCGGGCATAGTTAAATTACGTAATTTTACGTTCACCGCATCTGAGGTTAGGTTTCAGATAGCATAGTTGTGTTCCAAAATTTGACGTCCTTCGACGAGTGGCCGTTTGACCGAGGGCTGGTTCGACGCACGGCATAGATATGATTATCCAGAAGTGTTAAAGGCTACGTTCCGTAAGGCAGGAATAATGATGGTCCATTACATCCAGGGCAGTGGTGGTCTGTGGCAGGCGACCCGAATAAACAAATTGAAAATTTTAGTTTTTTTATATATTGAAGGAAAATATATTTTTTTAAACTTTAAAAATAAAGTAAGAAATTCATTGTACATGTGTAACATCGGAGACACTGGCTTCTTTAGGAATGTTGTCTTTAAATAGTTATTTTTAATCGGATATTTTTCATAATATTTTCTTTTTATATTGATGACTCCCATTTTTTATCATATAAGAAAGCTATAGACATTTATAAATAAATACTTATTTTATTTTACACTCACATGCTAAGCAGCCATCGCAGAAATCTGTAACAGAAAAAGCATGCTAGAACAAACGATTGAAATTTCAAATGCAGCGCTAACTATCACGAGGGAAGGTTACATCTGCAAAACGCATCTACCGACCTAATTTCAAACTGAAACATACGAAATATTTGTATCATGGCATGTATTTTGTATGTAAACATGGCATGTATTTTGTTGCTAGAACTTACTTTACTTAAGGGGACCGTCTAACCTAAATTGGAGATAGCCTATAACTCCTAAAGTTATTATCCGATCATCATGAAACTTCACATTCAAACGTAAAATGTAAAAATAAAAACATTTTACTTCTATGAATTTTTCGAAAAAATTGATAGAAAACGTGATATTCATAGAAAACGGAAAAATAACGGTTACTATATAAAGGGCCTAAAAACTGCCCTTCTTTGGGAAGCTGTCACGAAATCATTTTTTGACGCACAGGGATGATTCTGGTACCGTTGAATGCGTTGAAAAGTGAGCTTTAAGATGAGCCCAAAAAGTGGAAAACGCCTAAATTGAAAATTTTAGGTTAGACGGTCCCCTTAAGGAGGAGGTATACCCTCCAGAAAAACTTTTTTGTTTATGGACGGATCACTTTGAAACTTGGTATACTTATGTAAAACAGAATTCTAAGACATTTTTGTTCGTGTAATTTTTTCGAAAAAATTGATAGAAAACGTGAAAATTCATAGAAAACGGACAAAAAAGGGGGTACTGTAGAAATCTATCTCCTCCTAGGGTTTTGAAGCTACAGCAATGAGACATATACCATTCTATTTGTAAAGACCATACCAATGCAGTAACACGGCCCGATTTTTTATTTTTGCTTTAGTTTTTTTACAAGCATTTTTCCATTTTTTCTCATTTTTTCTCATTTCCCCCCCCCCCCTTCCCCCCATTTTGAATCCAAACTATGCACAAATCTGAAAAAAGGGCCGTGTTACTGCGTAGGTATGGTCTTTACGAATAGAATGGTATATGTTTCATTGCTGTAGCTCCAAAACTCTAGGAGGAGATAGGTTTTCCGTGACAAAAAGTTGAACTTTTCAGGACGGCTCGACAAAGTTCCGCGCGCCTTGAAATAGTCACTAAATGAAGCATAGCTACCAAAATACAGGCTTCTGTAGCCTAATTCCACTCAAGGATGCTAGGAGCGACTTGCAGTACACCACTCCGCACAAAGCGAAGAAGGTGACTGCAGCTTGATGCCAGAGCCCAGATACACCAATATTTTTAGTCTTAGCGAGTGAATTAAGTCCTATCTATTTTCTGAAGGAAATCCACCCCCGCCCCCATTTAGAGCCCAGCTGTGTGCGTTAATATTCACTCACAGCTATCGCAATAGTATCGTTGAAAAGCTCAGAATGTCAGCTTTAAGATGAGACTAAGCATGTAACTGCAGCACAACTCAAGTAGAAACTATATTCAAAGATTTCAGCTGCTAATTACTTTATATTTAATTAGTTAAAGAACTCGCCCACCCGCTTCCCTTCAAAGAGACGTCATGAACGTAAATATTTACGTGCAGAGATGGCAGTGGTACCATTGGAAAGAGCAGAATTTCAGCTTTAAGATGAGATTTAAACTCAAAAATGCCAAATCAGTAATTTTTAGGGTATACCTCCCCCTTAATATTATTTATTTTGAACTCGTTTTTTTTCTCGAAAATTTTTGAGCGACGTTTGAATTCATTCAACATTTTACATTTTTCACTTACGTCAACGTAAACGACTTCCTCAGCCATCTGCGCAAACGTGCTGGCTCCAGTCGTGCTGGTTGCAGTCGTCTCTGATCCAGTCGTGGTTGCTGCAGTCGTTGTTGCTGCAGTCGTGATTGCTGTAGTCATGGTTGCTGCAGTCGCGGTTGCTGCAGTCATGGTTGCTGCAGTCGTGATTGCTGTAGTCGTGGTTGCTGCAGTCACGGTTGCTGCAGTCGTGATTGCTGCAGGCGTGATTGCTGTAGTCGTGGTTGCTGCAGTCGTGCTTGTTGCAGTCGTGTCGGTTTCATTTCCGATGGGTCCGAACGAGACGACTGCAGCTTGCGCGACTTGACCAGTCGGGCTGGCTAGAGTCGTGGTTGCTGCAGTCGTGGTTGCTGCAGTCGTGGTTGCTGCAGTCGTGGTTGCTGCAGTCGTGCTGGCTGGAGTCTTGGTTGCTGCAGTCGTGGTTGCTGCAGTCGTGGTTGCTGCAGTCGTGGTTGCTGTAGTCGTGCTGGCTGCAGTCGTGGTTGTTGCAGTCGTGCTGGCTCCAGTCGTGGTTGCTGCAGTCGTGCTGGTTCCAGTCGTGCTTGCTCTCATGTTCGGTGGAATCAAATCATGCCAGAAAAAGTTTGCAGAGGGAATTTTGCAAGAAAATTTTCCATTGGTTTGCTCAATGACAGAAAACATCGCGGTCTTGGCGACTGATGCATGGAGCCCGCACTGGAATTATTGATTTTCAAGAGCTTTACAGTTTACACAAACCAAGTATTGTTGAGGCAATACTAAATAATAAAAATTCTAAATGATGTCGGAGTGAATTTTAAATTGCTAATTAGATTGCCTGATGAATTCTTCAAAGCTGCCTACCACACATGCAGTTTTACTCAGATTAAGAAATTGTAGTACAGTACTCACCTGCAAGCTGAATAATATACATAGAACACTTTTTAGGGGGGGTATACCCTCCTGGAAAACTTTTTTGTTTACGAACGGATCTTTCTGAAACTTCACACATATATGTAAAACCGCAAAAGAATTACATTTTGTTCATATAACTTTTTCGAAAAAATGCATAGAAAACGGAAAATTCACAGAAAACGGCCAAAAAGGGGGTACTACGGAAAAGCTTACTCCTCCTAGAGTTTTAAAGCTACAGCGATGAGACATTTATCATTCCATTTGTAAAGACCATACCAATCGAGTAACGAAGCAGCCCGATTTTTGATTTTTACCTTAGTTTTTTTACACGCATTTAAATTTTTTTATAATTTTTTCTCATTTTCACCCCCCTTCTCCCCCATTTTGAATCCAAGCTATGCACAAATCTAAAAAAGGGCTTCGTTACTCGATAGGTATGGTCTTTACGAATAGAATGGTATATGTCTCATCGCTATAGCTTCAAAACTCAAGGAGGAGTAGGCTTTTCCGTGACAAAAAATTAAACTTTTCAGGACAGCGCGACAAAGTCCCGCGCGCCTTGAAATAGTCACTCAATGTAGCATAGATACCAAACTACAGGCTTCTGTAGCTTCCTTCCACTCAAGGATGCTAGCAGCGACTTGCAGTACACCTCCCCATACGAAGCGAGGAGGGTGACTGAGCTTTGATGCCAGATACAACCATATAGGTAGTGTCGGCGAGTGAATTACCTCCTATCTAATTAGTGAAGGAACTCCACCCCCCGACCCCTTTAAAGAGCAGCCGTGTACGTGTAAATTCACGTACAGGGATCGCAGTAGTATCGTTGAAAAGCTCAGAATGTCAGCTTTAAGATGAGACTAAGCACGTAACTGCAGCACAACTCAAGTAGAAACTATATTTAAAATGCTCAGCAGCTAATTACCTTGTATCTAATTAGTGAAGGAACTCCCCCACCCGCCCCCTTTAAAAAGCCGTCATGTACGTATAAATTCACGTACAGGGATCGCAGTGGTATCATTGGATAGGGCAGAATGTCAGCTTTAAGACGATACTAAATACCAGAAAAGCCAAATCCGAAAATTTTAGGGTATACCCCCCCTTAATTAGTATACAAAGAGTGCGCATTTGTGTGCTATATCAAATATTATAGATTTCTGGGTAAAATAAGGTCGTTCTTTATACGAATAAACTTTCATGAAAGTCTAGCCGTAATGACACACTGAACTTTGGTATCACCACTAGAAGTCAATAAGAGGCATAAATCTCACCATGCTTTCGCTTCATTGTAACTAAGATAACTTTAAATATATTTTGTAACCAATGTTATTACCTTATGTTAACCTTAGTTGCTGTATCTACCAGTTAACCTACGATGCAGTAATTTATGCAGGGGTGAATATTCGATCGCAATGACAAGGAAATTGTCTGGTAAAATTCTTCACTTTAATTATATAGGAGAGAATGGTTCGGTAATTATTTATTAACATATGCTTTGGTTACAATTTTTCAGCATTTTCTATTTAATAGTGTAACGCACATTTTAAGTTAACCTAACGCGATCACTTGGATACATTCATCTTTGAGTACACCAATTATTAAACAATTCATGCGATTCATGTTCATATTTAAATTCGGTTGGGCGCAGGTTGTTGAGTCTTGGGTTGTTATGTAGGTTCTACTCGATCTCGGTTCACAATCCCGGTGTTCATAATAAATTCAAGTTTCAGCTTGATACTCCAATAGATCTCGATGAAATAACTCGTCATACGTCAGGAATACGAAGCTGATTTACATCAATTATTGCCTTTATTCACTTCAATTTCTCAAGCACCCCGAAAGTAGACCATTTTTCATATCTTTAATATTATAATATTCGGCAATACTTTTATTTTTTCATAAAATTTACCAATTCTGAATCAGAAGACGAGATACTGGTCGTATACTGTCTACAATTTATGATTTTATTGCATCATATTAAAATAGACGTGCGAATAGAAATTCTAGTTAAAGCAAAATCAACGTAATATGAACTTCCACGCGTTGCTAAAATTCTCAAGTAATGCCAAACACAGCAGTTTTACCTGTATGGCCGTCACTGTGTTATATACAATAGCTTCGGGATCATTGAAACTGGCCGCTGGGTTGGGGAGTATCTTGTACCGGTAGGTACTTGTTACCAGACCGTGCAGCACGGTCAGCAGCAGGTGCAGCTTCAGCATTGTTTTTGACATTTCCAGTCTTTGGGAGAGTATTTTCTGCGGAGAAATAATGATAAAAATTATTACTCGCATATCAACATTCAATTCTTACGGTGCCAGCAGAAATAGTACAGCGGTACGAGAAATACTACAGTGCACGAGAAATACTGCCGTGCACGAGAAATACTGCAGTGCACGAGAAATACTACAGTACACGAGAAATACAGCAGTGCACGAGAAATACGGCAGTGTACGAGAAATATTGTTAAAATGAAAATTCACGAACCATAAAGTGATATATTACGAAGTTCATACTCGCACTTGACCTAAAATCCATGGACTTCCGTACATCTAAGGAAAGGTAAGCGAAGTATATGCCACACTTTAATTAAGACTGGTAAGTTTTTCATCCTCGTACGCGAGCCTCATATATGAGCCTCATTCATCCGTCAGCTTTTATGAATTCAGTTTTATTCATTGTTGTTAACTTCTATATCATTGAATTTCATTCGCACTCCTTTTGCACTGAAGAATTATTAATATCGGTAGCGTGTCTGGCTCGAGACGGTCAATTAATAAGACGCATTTTTGTTAAGGCTCTCTCCAGGAATTTATCACGGCAAATAAAGAACTCGAGGGTCAAAATGAAACACTTTTACCTTTAGAATCGAAAATGGCAAAAATCGAGACACATCCTGAGGTACAAAAATTTTACAGAATTAAGAAATGCGCGTAAATTCAGAACTCGACATTTTATCCCCAATGTCCCCAAACTCTTAATTCTTAATCAGAACAGTGAATCAACAGGTCCTATATTACAAATCTCTAACCGCTGTTCGTACCTACCTACTTTACCGGGAAACGTTGCCTAGTGGTGTGTTGGTCCGTATGTGGTACTGTTGCAATGCCGTGACCGTATCGATCACGAAGGTCTTCAGCGGTAAAAATGTTCCAAGTAGCCGTACCGCTGTTGTATATACTTCTTTGGTTGTAATCTCGAAAGATAACTCAAGTTATGCATGGTCGTAAACTGTCAACTTCCGTAATTCGAAATATTGGTGATGGTTTCCACGTTAGTGAATTAGCTGCCAGTTCGTGGCCGTTCTGCTGCTGAGGAGTCCGACCGTACTTTCGACACTATATATCTGAATGGGTTGCTGGCTGTTTTTTCGCTGCGCTTCTGGTTACTTCTTGGGTTGTCTCGCAATTGAATAATGGTTAGCGCGGCCTACAGAACTGTAGCCAAGTCGTAGTCGTTACTTATTAATTTTAGTTGTTCTTTCAGTAATCGTAGCTGTATCGATGAGTCTAAGTTCAACGGAACCGTTAATGTTCGAAAACGGGCGAAACCGCTGGTCTCACGGCCAGCTCTCCGGCAGGCTCGGCTTGTGCCCTATGGGATTCTATATCACCACGTTGACTCATTACAACTCCGCTTGCAAATGAAATATAAATCTGACTTTTTTTCATCTTATTCAGCTATTTATGTACAATTTTTCACAGTAATGAAAAATATGTTAAGTATGTATAAGATCAGTTATGATAGAGGAAAATGTTGTACGTCGATGTTTATTATACAATGCGACGTACCTAAATTTGTGAGAAATAAAGGAGTAGTAATATTTATTTGCTGTTAAATGGTATTTAGTTGAAGGGCTAATGAAGGACTAGCGCGTTTAAATTGTAACCTTCCATTGTTATTTCGTGGGCGAGAACATTAATGATAACATGCGTTTCTCTTACGAGAAATTGAATAAAACTGTGTCTTTCCTCACCACGAATCAATAAAGGAGTCCAGTTGAAAGTATGGAGAAAAACTTATAACAGTCAATGATTATCATGGAAATAACAAGATTTTCAACTCGTAAGTGAGAAGTCTCTAAAATAGGAGTTGAAAATTCATTTACTTGTACTAGTAACCTTTAATTATGTTAATAGTGAATGCCAATGATTACGATGAAGTACAGCCCATCTTTATATCTTGCTTCAATGCTATATCTACAGTACGTTGTTTGCTTCGCAGAAAACAGCAAAATCTCCTGAAGGTTGTACAAGCATCGGCTTCAGGCGAAGGTGTCATTAACAATGCAAACCTAACAGTGAATTGTACAAGTGATGAAGACGATTTGAGTGATTTAGTGATAGAAAAGTCGGAGGAGCCCAGGGTTCAGAACGCTGGAGCAGCCCATATAGCAGTGAAAAGTCAAGCAGCCAGAATGCCGAGCCACCTAATAGCAGTGATGTGCTATTAGGTGGCTATAACACTTGACGAAAACTTAGCGCAAGGGGCTAGAGATGACAATGAAACAAAGTTTAGTTTCCTAAATTATTTTTTCTTTATTATTTCAGTTAACTGCAACTTAATTAATGCATAGGCGTGTTAAGCTTGGCAGGGCTGCGAGAACGGTTATTGGTCTGGGAAGCTCCCGACAAAAGCACGACGGTCCAGATCGGCAGCCATTAGGCCCCAGCAGTTTCGTTCAGTGCTGCTAAATAAATATACATATGTGCTTAAAACCATAAATCTCCATAATGGTAACAAGATACTGTGTGTAGATCTATTATAAATTAGTATTATCTGTTTAATTTTTCCGTATATATTAAATATATGTAACAATTCATCAATTATAGACCAAGTTTAATGTAGGTTATTATCACTTGGTAATATGGAGGGCACAGCCCATCTATTATTTGAAAAAGATATAGCATACCAGCATGCAATAAACTAAATTCACATTAAATTTATATATTCAAATTACATATCTATTATGGTATAATGATCTAAATTCAGTTGGGGTACCATCTTTATTCTAGTTCGAGGTCAGAGGGCAGAGTTTAGCTATGTCAGTCTCTGAAACTGTCTGGCACACACCCGCACGACTAAGTGGTACCGAGGACTTACGTCTCATAAAAGGCTGAAGCTGGTGCAGTCGGCTGAAGCAGGTAAGTGGTCCAACTGGGGCTCAGGAGAACATGCGGACGTGGAGATCTTAGCACCTCATGACTCCCATCACATGCGACGACGAAGCAGAACCCGAACTCCGGTCATAGACATTATTGATTTTGACATTAATTCCGGACAAAAGGGAACTTGGCTATATTAACTTTAACCTAGATTATTCCAAATCTGGGTTTCGTGGTATCTTTCGTGCGGAAATCTCGGAAGCCTTAAGCAAATAAAGTAAAGCTTTGCCCGTTGACAGAAGTTTAACGTCAAATGAGGAACTTCAATAAATTTGTCGCATCATTTAATTTACCTCTGATTTCATCTAGCGAAGACAAAAAGAATATCACGGAAAACTACACTAAATAATTTCGTTAGGCGTGAAATTTTCAATTGCCATGATTCATTTTGTTGAGGAATCTGAGATAAGTATTGGCCGAGCGTCCTTGGAATTATTACCCATAATTAATTATCAGTCCAGTTCACTAAGCATATAAGTTATGTCAAAAAAATCGCAACACCGGGACTCGTGTCGAACCATCGTCAGAGCTCGGGCTGCATTTACAGCGTTTAGCTTCTCAAGCAAGACGTCAACGCTAAGTATCGATCATACTTTAAATTAAATGATAATTTAAAATATTCATTAATTAAAGTATCGATCAAGCTTTAATTGATTTAACTTTCATCCCAATGGACTTGATTCATGCAATACAGCGGCGACTTGAGTGAAATTGATAACTTAACTTGTATTTGGATATAATTGCGCTCCATTCATTTACTGGAACAGTTTGGTTGAAAAATGCATGAAAGTTCTCGTTCATAAAGTAAACTTAATCCTGACAAGGGAATAAAAACTGTAATAAATTATTAAATACTTATTACATCCATCAAATTTTAATGATAACTTTTCGGAGACCACACTCACGGAGTAGTTTCTTTCCTTTTAAATTTTCAGTCAATTCATCTGCGCTCAAAAATTGAAAATATGACAGGTAATATCAGCTTCATACACTCAATGAAATGGCTATTCATGAATTTTGCTTGTTATCCTAGTGCCTTGGCCATGAATATAACGTGTTATTTGTGTTACCTCCGCTGTTTACTCAATGAAAGACACTTTTAGACATATACCAACAGTATCAGAATTTTCTGATCTTGGTTTCAGATCTTCTTGAAGAATGGTGAAATACAGCTCTTTTTCTCGTATAGTGAATCTTTCACACATCGCTAATTTGCTTGAAAATTATTTCAATGATTTATGCATGCAGTGTTCAAGCGGCCCCGGCCAGCGGCACAAGTAAGTTGTTGGACTTACTTGTGACTTGGTATTGCCAAATTATGTCCTCGTTTATAATAATATACATTTAAAAATTATTTTTTAAAGACAACACTTCTAAATGAATCCAGTATCTTCAATGGTAAAGATGTACAATTAATTTCTCATTTTATTTTCGAATATTAAAAAAATTAATTTTTCATTTTTTATATATACAAACTTTTTTTCTAAAAATTATTTATTCTGTCAATTGATTCAAGCACTGCCTCCGACTTCACACAAGTGTGCAAAATTTCAAATCATTTGGACAGGTAAAAGTGTGTCAAATATCAGTTATAAGTTTGTAGCTGACAAATTTATTTTTCAAATTTTTTTAATATTAAAAAAAAATTTTTTTCATTTGTAAAATAGTTTATTTTGTCATTTGATTCATGCATTGTCTCCAACTTTACGCAAGTGTGCAAAATTTCAGATCGATAGGATAAGTAGAAGTGTGTTAAATTTCGATTATGAAGTTAAGGAGAAGTGTTGTAATAAAAACGGGGCCTGAGCTTCCCATTTCTTGTCGATTTTAATCTTTTGGAAAAATTTGTTGGAAAATCTTTAATGCTCGTATTAATAAATATTATGAGAGAAATTTTATTTGCGTGAAATTTCAGTGTGACAACACTAAGAGAAAAATTGTTAGAGTAAAATTCACCTTTTAAAATAAGGTGAAAGTAAAATTCGTTTTATCATGTCAGCTATTGTATTTAAGAATCAACTTATGCTTCGCTTGCTGTAATTACTGATGTTTAAACC